ACCATCCACCGGCGACCACACACCAGCGACCGGCCAACTGCTGCGCAACAACGGCCATTCACGGGACCCGGTAATGTTTCCACATCGCCGCCGCTGTCCACGTTGGTCCACGGCCAAAAAAACGTCCGACCACGAAAAAAAACAACAACAACAACAACAACAACAATAACGAATAATATGAGTTCGTACCCACTGTTGGGAATCCATGCCGAGGCTCTGCCGACCCCCGAAAAGTTCGGGTACTGGCCAGTATCACGTAATTTCCCAACAGTGGGGAAGGTACTGGTGGTTTAATCAGGCGCTGAACGTATGGGGCGTTGAATATGTCCACGTTCAGACACATCTGTTTGCACTTGCAAATGCAATGCAGGTGTGTCGTTTCAATCTACGGCCAAGGCCTCACCCTTTCCAATTCAGACTTTTCCACTTTTCCACCCTGCTGCTGCTTTGCCACCGTTTCAACCAAAACCCAGCGCGCGGTCCCATGGGCAGCTACCGGGCCCGCATTTTACAAAGAAACTGCCACCGCCCCCCAAAGAAACCACCCTGCCGCTGCTTCGCCACGGTTTAGACCAAAACCCAGCACGCAGTCCCACGGGCAGCTACTTGTCCCGCATTTTTCAAAGACACTGCCACCCCCCCCCAAAGTGTGGTGGCTGCACCTGCCTGCATTTTTCGAACCCAAACGAGCCCGAATCAACAAAGAAGGACGACGAAAATGTCTGGGGGGGAAATGTCTCAGGGGGGGAAAACGCACCCCTGACGGGCTGCGAACTGGTTTATATTTTCGGGAAGGGGCATGGGGACGAGGGGGAGCCGTGGGGGGGGGGTTCGAGGCTACCAGTAGGAGCCGCTCCCAGGGGTCGGGAGAATGCGGCGGAGAGAGGGGGGAGGGACTGTGTGACTGGTTCACAGAGCACTCCGCTCACTTCCTTTTTTGTCTTTCCTATTCTGTTCTGGTCCGCCCATTCCAATTTCCAAATTCATTTCTGTAGGGAACGGGGCACGGCAGGGGGGAGCAGGGGGAGGCGGGGCGGAGTGAAAATCCCACCGCACCTGAGGGCGATACCCCGCAAGGCGGGGGTAAGGGTGTTCGGAGAACCGCGAGATCGAGTCGATTGTGACAGTAGAAGTGAAGGCCGAGATCGAAATCGAAAAGCGCGAGCAGAAGCGAACGTGAACGGGGACGCAGAGGGGAGGCAGGCGGGCGCGCTGGCGGGAGGGCTGGCGGAAGAGCTAGGGGGGAGGGTTGGCGGGAGGGCGTGCGGGAGGGAGGCGCGCGGGAGGGCGCGCGGGGGTGGGGTTGGGCCGAAGGAACAACAACAACAACAATATCCTCAATTAACGGGGAATCAGAGATTTGAGTGCGCTCGCTGTCAAGGCACTGGTTTAGTTGGGCGCGCGCAGGTGCCATCATGTGTTTCCTGTTCTGTGTATTACCGTTTTCGACGCTGACGCTGAAAAATTGATCGGAGGCCATCGTTCCTCGGGAGTGTCGCTGCGAGTGACACGTGCCAGCCGCCTGTTCATTGTCATTCCTTTCATTTCATGTCCATCTTCATCAGCATCGTCGTCTCTCGTGAAACTAGGGGTGGTGGCGGGAGTGGGGGCTCGACCCATCGGCCTCTCGATGAATCATCGGATGGCGTTCTCCGCGAACTTGGAGACGAATGAAAATTTCCTAATGCGGTGTGAAGCCTCCTCTCTACCATCGTCGATCGTCTCTTGGGATTGTCCCGCTTCTATGGCTTTCAAATTCTCCTCCTCCTTCTCGTGCTTCCTTTTCTCCTCCTCCTCCTCCTCCTCCTCCTCCTCCTCCTCCATCATCACTGTCTTCCACCTGCTGATAGTGTCTCTCCCGCCCTCGCGCGCATGCCTTTTTCACCCACTTGTGTAGCCAAGTACTACTGCTCGTACATACATATTTTCGGTGTACCCTCAAGACACGCAAGTCTGTTGCTTTGCCCTCCAATGTGTCTTATCGACGGTGAGGCAGGCGCCAATCGACAGTCTTGACGGCGATAGAGAGAAGCAGAAAAGAGGGTGGAGGGGAGGACCGCGGCGAGCACTCTCATGAGCGTTTGAAATGTGTGATTGGGCACAGTCGATCGTTCGGCTGTAACCACAGGCGGCTGTGTTGATGAAGTAAGTTATTCGTCTTTGTTTTGTCTTTTCTCTCGCCTGCTTGTGTTTGCAACTTATGACGTGGTGTTAAGTTGGCGTCGGCAGCGAGGCTGCTGCCGCACGGACGTCGACGCGGGTGCGGCTGACAGAGTGCTATAAGACTAGCAAAGGGAGGGGGTGAAAATAGCACAGGGAGGGAGAGAAAAGCGTGGATGATGTGTCTAGTCAGGAGGACGTGGCAGTAACAGTGGCAACTGATTGCGTTGGGCCTCTCTTCCAGTTGCCTCGCCTTTCTCTCTCTCTCGCTCTCTCGCTCTCTCGCTCTCACTACGCACATTGGCTTGCTTTTTCTCTCTCTCCGCAGCGCAGCCTTTCCGATTGTCTGTATGGAACATACGCATACGCTCGGGTGTGTGCTCCTCGCCTGTGTACTGGTTGTTGTTCCAGTTGGCACGTAGGAACATGTGTATCGCATACAACATACACACACACGGACATAGGACCTCCGCGGGCTATTTGGTAGAGCTCCGACGAGGCATTCTATCACATTGAAGTTTTGTTTTGCGCCCACACACACTCAAAGAGAGATAGAGAGAGAGAGAGAGAGAGAGAGAGAGAGAAGAACGGAAAGACCCTCTTTGGGGTGGAATTCTCGGGGGAAGAGAGAGAGAGAGAGAGAGAGAGAGAGAGAGAGAGAGAGAGAGAGAGTTGCCATTGCGGAAAGAGTTTTGTTTGGGGTAGAGGTTAGCAGGGATAATGAGCAGTAACCAAGATGGCTCCTGACTGTCTAACCTCCTTTACTACTGTTGTCTTTCAATAGTTTCGGGCAGGGGTTGTGACCCTCACCCGGACCTTCTCCGTACCTTCCTCCTATTGTTATCAAGTTGGTGTCCTCATCTCTTTAGTATTTCCTCTACAATCTCTCCTTTCGTGGTGTGCGAGTACCTCTGATGGTACTACCATATCGCCCTGTCACGATGTCTCTCCGGCTCTCGGTGTCCCCGCGCCCTCCTCTCCCCCATACAGCTCTTCCCATTCAGTCTGCTGAGCCGGCGTTTGTCTCTATGTTTTTTCCCGACTTCCACTCGTCCGTTTGACATCTCCCCTGCCCTTCGGGCGTCTTTTTTCTCTCCTTCCGCCGTCCCTCCCTCTTCTCTCCGGCCTTTCCCCCCCCTCCCTCCTCTATCTCCCGCTCCTTTTTCGTTGAGGGAAAGAAAAAGACTTCCGCAGTGAGTGTCTCATACCGTGCGAAAGGCAGCTTGATAGGTTTCTATACAATGTGGCTGGGGGTTGGGCACAACTTCCCCACAGTCGGTCGTTGGTAGTATAATATAAGAAGGGAAGTACGGTTTGCTGCCAACAGATTATTGAATGACGGGTTGCTTTGCTGTTCTTTGCTGCCCAAGTTCCGTGAAAAAAGAGGTTAGTATGATGTCTTCGCTGCCCAAGCTCTGGGAAAAGAGAGGGTAGAAAAGAGAGGTTATTTCACGTCACAGGTCGAAGGTTCCTTGTTATCGATGAGGAACGCGCGTAGAGAGGGAATAGGGGCTGATTGGGGTGTACTATCTGGAGAAAGGTTTACAAGGAGCGAAAAGTGTGAGAGAGTGACTGTGTCGCTTATTGTGGCATATAAGAGAACGGAACGGGGAGCAGAGCGACGACGAGAGCACGAGTGTGGAGGGGGAGGGTCTTTTAACGAGGAGAGGGAGGAGGTAGGGGAAAAAGAAGGAGAAGTAGACGGGGGAGCGGGAACGAGGCTTGTGGAGGTCGTTGCTTAAGAAGAATTAGGGCGACGCCGGGCCCGCTGGGGGTGTTGTAAATCGTATCTTCGCGATCGGGATATTGGAAAATCGAATCTTGGCACTATTGATTGGGTCGCTGCCATCGGAGTGGCATACCATTGCAACGGCAGGGGAGAGAACCGGAGGGACAGTGAAGAGCGAACCACCCTTATACGAACGACGAACGATACAAACAGATAACACCTAACGATAGGCAAGGGAAGGAGGAGGTGAGGAAAGGAGTGGGGAGAAGAGGAAAGAGGGGAGGGGGCGCATAGAGAGAGACTTACACGGGCGATACAATCAGACACCGCGAGCGAGAGGAAAATACCCGCAGGGACTGGCACCACAAGGCAAAGGTGGGGAAAGGAGAGGGGAAGAGGGAAGAGGGGAGGAGGCGGAGAAAGAGAGATACGGAGGACACAAGCAGATATACCGAGCGATAGGAAAATACCCACTGGGACTTGTACGAAAGGCCGAAGGTGGAGAGAGAGAGAGAGAGAGAGAGAGAGAGAGAGAGAGAGAGAGAGAGAGAGAGAGAGAGAGAGAGAGAGGGGGGGGGGGGGGGGGGGGGGGGGGNGGGGGAGGGAGGGAGGGAGCGGGAATTGCGCGTACATCAGTAGCGAATCGAGGAGTCGTTCGGGTTGGGACTGAATGCGAGTTTGAAAGAGAGAGTGTTACAGGAGCTAATCAGGATATTACTATTAAATATTAACCCCTTGGCGTGGTGGGGAGGCGGTTTCTGGACACCAAGAACGCTTTCTAGGTAAGGAGCGTCTGTGTCGATAGTTTCAATGGTGCACGTTTGCGAGCCAAGTGGTTGAATATGAACCTCCTCGTGAGCGTTGGCCTCAGCTCTTTACCTCACTTTGGTTGTCTACCTCTGCCTGTGTCCTTCATGCCTCTGCAAAAACTTCCCGTCAAAAATGTCCCTTGATAGCTCTGTTGTTGCTTTGCTGTTTTGGACAGTATCCTCACTTTGATATCCACTTCTTCTTCCCCACAACCTCAGCTTCACGTCCCATTTATTTCGTCTTGTCGTGTACCCCCCCCCCCCCCCCCCCCCTTCCGCTCCTTCCTCTCTGCGTTTTTCAACTTGCTTTCCTCAGCTTCAACTTGCTCTACTCTACTCCAACTTGCTGCACTCAACTTTAATTTCCTTCTCGTTCCTGGTATCTATTAGCTTTCTTGTCTACTCAACCTCGCTCACTTTACTGAGCTTACTCAAATCATCGATTCAACGTACTCATCTTCTCCCACTCAACGTACTCATCTTCCTCCACTCGACGTACTCATCTTCCTCCACTCAACGTACTCATCTTCCTCCACTCAACGTACTCATCTTCCGCCACTCAATGTGCTCATCTTCCTCCACTCAACGTACTCAACTTGCTTTACTCAACTTCAACTCGCTCTACTCAACTTGCTTCCGTCCTCTGCATATAAGCCATCGTACTTTTTTTTCCCGGAGATTCGTATTGGTCGAGTGATTGTCCATAATCTCTCTTTGTAGGGGATCGACCTGTTGCGTCTGGTCTCGTTTCTTCGATTGCGTGGTGCGCATGCGATGTTCTTCATCCGGTGGAGAGGACTGGCGTTCAATTCAAATAAAGTCGTATTATCTGAAGTCAAAGTGGTGTACATCAATCGAAGGAGGAGAGAGAACTTGTAGGGGGCGACGTCTTGGAGGCTTTTTGCTTTTTGGCGCTTTTTGTTGTTATTTGGTCCGGCATCTCTGGCCGTGACCAAACGTAGGGCGGCAGGCGGAGGCCGATTTCGGTCGCAAGATAGGGGAAGAGGGGAAGAGAGCGGGGGCCGGCTTGACGGCGGCGGGTAGAAGGCGGAGCGGCGAAGGCGAGGAGGTGGTGGGATTGGGAGGGAGACAAGGGAGGGCAGCGTGGAGGGTGGGGAACGCGGAAGTGGAGGGTGCGAATTGGAAGGAGAGGTGGAAGGAGAAGGGGACTCCGATAAGAGCTGCAGAGGGAGGAGTGAGGGGAGTAGGAGGAGGGGGAGGAGGAGGAGGAGGGGAGGAGGAGGCGGTAATAGAAGAAGGTAAAAGAGGTCTGAGGACAGGGGGAAGACGACGAGGAAAAGGAGGCGAGGGGTTGGGGATTGACTGGGGGTTTATTCGGACTTATCACGGAAGGTCTAAACACGGCTGCCTCGTTATGTTTGATGCAAGGATAGCACGGTTGTTAGCATCTGTTATCTTCATCTGGGGTTTTCAGTGGGGTGTGAGTATTGGAGAGGCGGGCCGGTCTGTGGGAGGAGGAGGAGGGAAGCTCGGGTCTGCTGCCTTTTCTTCAGCGGCAGGCAGGTGGAGTGCGGACAGGGAGAAGCAGGAAGAAGGCGATTTCTCTTCTCTTCTTTTCTTTCGCACGCGACCTGGCTTCCTTTCGCCACCGTTCCCGTCTCGACCGCCTCCTCCTCCCCCTCCCTCTCCTTTTCCGGCTCAGCCGCTGCACCGTCAGCAGCAGTCCGAGCATAGTCGTGGATCCTCCTTCGCGGCGGACCCGCCTTCGTGGAGTAGGAGCAGCAGTGTTCTCCTGGTCGTTGTGGACCGGGCGAGCACGTGGCTCTTCTCTTGGGTAGGAGGATATGGCGGGGAGAGATGGACCAATGGGGAGGTGGAGGACAAGAAGGGAGAAACGGCGGAAAAGAGGAGGGGAAGCCGCCGAAGCACAGCAAGCAATATCAGCTCTGAGAGAGCGGCAAAAACGACGACAAGTTGGAGGAGGAAGGACAACTCTCGATTTGACGGCATGAACATAAGGAGCAACAGCAGCAGCAGCAGCAGCTGCGGGTCTTACAGCACAGCAAGTAGGAACGACGATGAAGACGCAGAGGAGGAGGAGGAGGAGGAGGAAGAGGAAGGTGGGAGATTTCCGATGCAGCAGCTTGTTCATGACGCAGAAACAGGGGCAGCAGCAGGAGTTACCTACCGCCGCCGCCGCCGTCTACAGCTGGCGGCTCCACCCACAGAAGAACCCCCCCCAACGCTGCCTAGCGCAAATTGCAGCGATTTAATTCCGCAGAATCTGACTGTGCTACTCGTGTGCCACAGCGATCCGATTAACGCGTCAACCTGTTGCCCGCTGCTAGAGCGACTACAAAATGCGTCCCGTGGCGGCTGCGAACACGAATTGTCGACAAAGCTCAGAGAGCAGAGTTTCAACGAGAGCGCGATGCTATCGGCTTGCAGCGTTTCTTCGGCGGCTTCACCGGCCGCTCCATCTGCTGCGCTTCCTTCGGCGGCGGCCAGCAGCTCGCTGCCAAATGCGACAGGAGGGAGAGGGGATCATGGCTCCGATGGCGGCGGCGGCAGCGGCACTTCTCCTACCCGATCCTCTCCCTTTCAACCGTCCCCCTCGACGACCGTTCCTCCCAAGAGGCCCGCCAGCGAGGAGGATGAGAACAGTCAGAAGAACCCGCCACGACCGTCACCACCGGAAGCGGTGACAACAGGGGGATTCAAAAAAGATTTGCCTATTGTACTGCTTGCCTGCGCGTTGGGCGTGGCGATGCTGGTTGTGCTTCTGCTGCTTTTCTGCCTTCGCAGACGGATAGGACGGGGGTGTAGGGTGCTGCTGTGTATGGGGAAGGTGAGCGAGAAGACGGGAGAGAGGGGGCTGAACCGGGGAAGCAGCAGTGCGCTGAGATCGGAGGCGAGCCGAGACGCGAGCACTCCGGCAAAGCCGGACGGATCGGGAGCGGGGGGGAGGAAGGGGGAGCGGAACATTCTCAATCGAGCGCCAGAGCCGTACACCGTGTGCAAATTCTCGCTGGAGACGCTGTCAAGAGCCACCCGAGGATTTAATCCCGACTGCGTGATAGGGGAGCCCGGGGGGTTCGGCAGAGTGTATCGGGGGACGCTGGACGATGGGCGAGCGGTGGCGATCAAGATGATGAAGGGAGATCTGTCGGAGTCGAAGTACAGCCAGTTTCTGGCGGAAGTGGAGCTGCAGAGCCGACTGCATCACACGCATCTGTGTGAGCTGATTGGATACTGCGACGCGGAGGAGAGCTGGTTGCTGGTGTACCCGTTTATTCCCGGGGGAACGTTGTTTGAGCATTTGCACGGGCGGCCGGGGCCGATGGGGCACCGAGCGGAGAAGCTGGACTGGCCGACGAGAGTGCGCATTGCGCTCCACGTGTCGAAGGCGATCAGGTATCTGCACGAGGAGATCGACCCGCCGGTGCTGCACCGGGACGTGAAGTCGGCCAACATTCTGCTGGACCAGAACAAGCGCGCGAAATTGGCAGATTTTGGCCTGGCGAAGCTGGGGCAGAGTATACTGGTGGACACGGAGCGGGGAGGCGTCGAGCCGCGGAGGCTGTGCGGAACCTATGGTTACATGGCCCCAGAGTACATGGTGTGGGGGAAGCTGACGGCAAGGAACGACGTCTACGCCTTTGGCGTGGTGTTGCTTGAGATTGTCACCGGCCGGAGGGCTGTCGTCAGAGGCGAAGAAGGCACGCTTGCCACGTGGGTGAGACCCTATCTCGACAACGTTAATGACTTCAAGAGTATCGTGGACCCGATCTTGTTGAAGTGGGGCGTGGACGATTTGGAAGAAATCTACTCGCTGGGGTGTCTCGCTGGAGAATGCACTCACGGCACGGAACGTCTGCGCCCAGCGATGAGCAGTGTAGTGGAACGCATAAACAAAATCGCTATCAATTACCCCGTGAGATGATCGGCAATCTCCCTGATTTTTCATTCTTGTCTTTCTGCTTTCTTCTGCCTCGTCGTGCTTTTGCTTCTTTTGCGTTGCCTTGCGTTGCCTTGCGTTGCGTTGCTTTGCTCGTCATTTCGCGTCTTTGCGCTCGAATTGGCATTTTCTGCACTCACGGAACTCTGTAGTTCTTCGCCGGACTTGGTCGCTTGCGTGCATGGATGGAAGTTGTTCTGTGGCGGCGTCTGCTTTTATCTGACTACTGTCACTGGTCACCAGCTCGCATTGCTGTCTATCTATCTATCTATCTGTCTATCTATTATTTATCTATGAATGAGAGATCATTTAGTTGTCTTTCTATTCAACGGTCGCGAGCTCGCTTTGCTGTATCTATCTTCTATCTATCAATCGATCAGTTTTACCAATCTCAATCTCTCTCGCTAACTGTGATCTACTTATCGTCTATTATCATTTCCTCATTTTCCCCGCTAGCTCTCTTTCTCTGTCCATCCGTCTGATTACCTGCTTGCTCAAGCGTCTGTCCAGCTTTCTAACTACCCTACCGAACTCACTGAAGCCGCCACGCCGGTCGTTCGTTCTCTCTATATATACCGGGCAATTCTATCTCATATCTCATAAGCCTGTCGCGGCGAGCGAGAGAGAATACTGAATACTTACAGGACTATGTGTTGATGTGTTGTGTGAAGCGCTGCAACGACCTTCTGTCCGAGTTCTCGCTTGCTTGCCGGCATTATTGCAGCTGCACAGTATTTCTGCTAGAGTCAGAGAAAATGAGGCGCTCTTGCCGCCGCTCACTTCCTCGATTATTGCCTTTACCGATCTCTCTTCGTCCTCTGTGTTTTTACACTTGCCAGTAAAGCGCGCACAGAGGAAGAGAACACAGGCAAACGCACAGACACACAGAGAGAGAGAGAGAGAGAGAGAGAGAGAGAGAGAGNAGAGAGAGAGAGAGAGAGAGAGAGAGAGAGAGAGAGACAGAGAGAGACAGAGAGAGAGAAAGAGAGAGAGAGGTCCGAGCAGTTATTGAATAGTGTAATGGATCGAAGAAAGGAAGAGAAGAGGATGAGGGCGTGACGAAGATTGTTTATGTGATTGCGGATGGCAAGTGATAGTTGTATGTGCGGAAATGGGTGCGTGTTGTGGCGGCGGGCAATGGAGTGGGGCAGGGGAGGGAAGGCGAAGGAGAGAGTATGTGAAGAAATATTGTGGCGGCGGGCAATGGAGTGGGGCAGGGGAGGGAAGGCGAAGGAGAGAGTATGTGAAGAAATAGCGTTATGTAGCGCGAAGGGTACGTGGTTATCAGACGAGCAAGGCAGGAGGGCTTTTAGGGTGAGAAAAATTTGTGCGGGCTTCGGCGAAAAGGAGGGGACTTTCGGTCCAGTGCAACGTGTCCAATGGTTGTGTGGAAAACAATTCTCTTTTCTGTTAAGCGGATGAGAAATTCATATTTTCCACTTCTGCTGTTTTGTTCTCTCCTCTCTTTTCGCTTAACAATTTCCTTTTTTTTTTTATATATATTTTCCCTCTCCTCGCGCCCATCCTCCCCCTCCCCCCGGCCCCCGTTTCGAATCTGTGTGCTTGCCTCTCTTTTCTCTTTCTCGTCTCTCACGCAAGTGTATGCTCTCTCCGTCCAATTTGCCTCCGTCTCCGTTTGCTTTCTTTTGTCTTATTTCCAACGGCTGACCGAGCGACCCACCCAGGGATTCTCCCACCCCCCCCCCACCCACCACTGACCCTCCCCACCGACCCACCAACCGACCCGCCACACGAGCAGCGGAACTTGGCGATAGTGGGGATGAGCATAGCGTTTTTCTAATAATAGCTCTTTTAGCATTGCTTATTGATTCAATTGGATTTCGTCATAGGCTAGCTAGCCTAGCCCATGTGATCTCTACGCCGCATTTTGTATTGCCTGATGTTGTCGTGATCTCCCTCCTCATGTGTCCACAGTCCCCGTCATGTTTCCACAGTCGCAGTTGCACTAAATACGGCCATTTCTCCTCCTTTCCTCTCTCTCGTGAGCTGTTTGTGTTGGGGGTATGATCGGGCGAGGCTCCTTTTGACTCGAATACTTTTTCGCTTTAAACTGAACGAGGAGGTACTTAAGAATTCCAAGCGAGTGGATTTTCTGTGTATCTAGTCACAATTTGAACAACTAAGGGGGGTTACATACACACACAGAGAGCTGTCTCTTATACACATCTAGATGTGTACGGACGGAGAGTGTGAACACCTACAACAAGCCGAG